GTGGGTGGTGAGGCATAGGTCCAGTAGCTTCAGCATGTTGTCTGTGGAGATGGTGTCACTGGCGTCTTGTTCTTGTTTTAGTAGTGCTGTCATTGTTTCTCTTGCTAGTGGTATGTCTATCGACGTGAATAGGGCAGTAACATCAAATGATACCATGGTGTCGTCATCATCTATTCTTATGTCCTTGACAGAGTTGAGGAAGTCTTGGGCTGAGTGGATTGAGTGGGGAGTTGTTGACGAGGTGCTTTAGTTTCCTCTGTAGTTCCTTGGCTAATCTATGTGATGGCGTGCCTGGCAGGGAGTCTATGGGTCTAAGGGGTACTTCCGGTTTGTGTATTTTCAGGAGGCTGTAGAATCAGGGGGTGTTAGCTCCTTCAGGTTTCATTCTTAGGAAGTCTGTTTTGTTGATCTGTCTGGTCTAATTGAGTCTTTTTAGCGTGTTGAGGATCTTGTTGCGTAGTTGTGATGTCGGGTCAGTCTGCACTTGCCGGTAAGTGTTCTCGTTGGCTAGCAGTGCATGTGCTTTGGAGAGGTAGTCCCGTTTATTTAGTATTACTGTCATGCGCCCTTTGTCTGCGGGTAATATTGTGATGTTCTTGTCCTTTTTCAGTCCTTCTAGGGCTTTCCTTTCCGGTGTGTTGAGGGTGTTGAGTTCGCTTTTTCTGGTCAGTGTTGGGATCACTGTCTGTCTTATGGTTTGTTGTGTTTCTTTCTTGATGCTGTTGGTCCTCAGTGTGCTTCCAGTGTGGCTAGGAATTCTGTTGTTGGTGTCTCTGTAGTTATAGGTAAGTCCACGGATGAGAACAGCTTTCTCTGTGTCTGCCAGTTTACTGTCCGAGAGATTTCTTATGCAGGTATCTGCTCTGTGGTTGTGGTTTCGGTGGGTTAGTTTGGCTAGTTTGTCCTGAACGGTCCATCTTTTCCTGGCTCTTGTGGTCTGTTGACTGATGTTGATGGCTTGTTCCAGGTCCATTGTCCAGTCTTGGTTGGTGGCTTGCAGGAATAGAGTTTTTTGGCACGTAATTTCTCTGTTATATCTGTGGATTCAGTTGTGTGCGTTGTTTATCACTACCTTTGCCATCCTGTGGCCATTTTGTTCTGCTGTTTTGCGAGCTTGTGGGTCATCTCTGGTGACCACCTCGAAACTGATAGCTATTTCAAGCCCACCGACTCCCACAGCTACCTAGACTACACCTCCTCTCACCTACCTTCGTGCAATGTGATCCCCTACTCCCAATTCCTCCGCCTCTGCCGCATCTGCTCCCAAGATGAGGCGTTCCACTCCTGAATATCCCAGATGTCCTCATATTTCAAACTTCCCCCTTCAGTGGTCGAAAACGCTCTCGACCGCATCTCTTCCGTTTCCCGCACCTCTGCCCTCACACCCCCTCCAATCCCCTCAACAAAAACAAAGACAGAATCCCCTTTGTCCTCACGTATCACCTCACTAACCTCCGGATTCAACGCATCATTCTCCACCACTTCCACCATCTGCAATCTGACCCCGCTATGAAGGATATATTTCCCTCCCCACCCCTACCTGACTTCCATAGGGACCACTCTCTCCGCGAGTCCCTTGTCCGCTCCACACTCCCCACTGGCCCCACCACCCGCGGCACCTTTCCCTGCAACCACAGGAAGTGCTACACCTACCCCTACACCTCCCCCTCACCTCCATTCAAGGACCCAAAAAAACCTTCCACATCAGACAGATGTTCGCCTGCACATCCGCTAATGTGGTCTATTGCATCCGCTGCTCCCGATGTGGCCTCCTGTACATCAGTGAGACCAAGTGGAGGCTCGGAGACCGCTTTGCTCGGTTCGCGACAAATGACAACACTTTCCAGTCGCGAACCACTTCAACTCCCACTTCCACTCCCTGGACAACATGCCCATCCTGGGCCTCCTCCAGTGTCACAATGACGCCACCCAGAAACTGGAGGAGCAGCACCTCATATTCCGCCTTGGGAGCCTACAACCAATGGTCTCAATGTAGGCTTTACTAGTTTCAAAATCTCCCCACCCCCGGCCTCATCCCATGACCAACCCTCTCTCTCATCCCCGCTTCCTTGACCTGTCCGTCTTCTCTCCTACCTATCTCCCTCTCATCCCCGCTTCCTTGACCTGTCCGTCTTCTCTCCCATTTATCCGCTCCTCCCGCCTCACTGACCAATCCCCACCACTGCCTACCTGCACTCACCCTAGCACCGTTCCACCTACCTTCCCCAGCCCCACCCTTCCTCTCTCTATTTGTTTCAGAGCTCCCTTTCCACTTCCCCATTTCTGAAGAAGGGTCCTGACCCGAAACGTCAGCTTTCCTGCTCCTATGATGCTGCCTGGCCTGCTGTGTTCCTCCAGCTCCACATTGTGTTATCACTATTTAATTATGTTGCTTTCTATCCTGCACTCCAGACATGGCCAACTCCATTGTTGGTGTGTGCATCTTGGGACCATAGGAACCGGAGTAGGCCATTCAGCCCTTCAATCCTGAAATCATGGCTGATCTGTGGCCTAACTCCATATACTTGCCTTTGGCCCATACCGCCTAATATTTGGCATAATAAAATTTTTCTATCTCGGATTTAAAACTAACAACTGATCCAGCATCCACTGCCATTTATGGATGTAAGTACCAAACATTTACCACCCTTTGTGTTGAAGTGCTTCCTAACCCTCTGGGGAAGGGTCACTCAACTCGAAATGTTAACACAGATGCTGCCAGACCTCCTGAGCTTTTCCAGCAATCTCTATTTTTTACTCCTGAACGGTCTGTCCCTAATTTTTAGACTATGCCCCCTGATTCTATAATCCACAACCAGTGGAAATAGTTTATCTTTATCCACTGACTTTTCTAGTTGATATCTTTAAGACTTTGATTAGATCACCCCCTAACCTTCTAAATTATAGAGAAAACAGGCTTATTTTGTACAATATTTCCTCATAAGTTAACCCCTAAAATCCATGCATCATTCTTGAAAATCTATATTGTACTCACTCCAAGGCTAATGTGTCCTTCCTACGGTGCAGTGCCAAGATCTGCTCACAATACTCCAACTGGGGACCAACCAGGGTTTTGTATAAAACTGCAGCATAGCTTCTGCATCCTTATACTCCAGTCTTCTAGCTATGAAGTGCTTTCTTCATTATTTTCTTCACCTCTTTATAACATTTTAAAGAACTTTGCACCTGAACCCCTAAGTCCCTTTGGACATCCACTGTATTCATTTTTGTCTCTTGTGATTTTCATGTAGTCAGAGCAGCTTCTCCATGATCTGTAGTTCACAGCCTCACATAGGCGTCATAACCTATAGCCTGGATTCAGAAAATGTTGAAAATTACGGTCAGAAGGTCTTACCCATGACCTCTATGATATCTTCATGCCAACTAATGCTCCCTCCACCAGCATAAAGCTACTCATACCCTGCAGGCAAACTCAGGTCCACCCAAGCGGCTTCATACCATTCATGTCAACTTATAGCACTTTAATGGCCATTCACCTAGTATACCTGCACAAAACTAATGTAGGACAAGTGTAGGATTGCTTAAAAAGCACATTCATAATTTTCTGTTCTTGCTATCACTAAAACCCTTTGAAAGTAGTGTTCATTAAGACCTTTCAAGTATCATTAACGGAAAACATGAGTATTTGATACAGCTTAATTCTGTGCAAATAAACATTGAGCTACTGTCAAAAGCGAACACAGAAAATGTTTTATGTAATCACAAAATTATCAATCAAGCAGTTTTCACTTCTCCGAACCTGTACCTACAAAGCTAATCCACTATAAATTGTCCTACCATTCCAAAAAAAATCCAGTAACCAGTACTCACTTTTGCTCAGTCAATTTTCATATTACTTCTGTCTCTTTTATTCCATATGTTATAACTGCTCACATGTCTGTTATGCAGCACATTGTCAAATTCCTTTTGGAAGTCTTTGTACAGCATACCCACGTCATTTCTCACACTAACTCTCTCTATTATCTCACCAAAATACTCAAACAAATTATTTAAACATTATTTGCACTTAACAAATCCACGCTGGCTTTCCTTAATTAACTATATTTGTCCAAGTATCTATTAATTTTGTCCCAAGTTAACATTTCTAAAAACTTCTCCACTACTATCCTGAGGAACCCTTACAGCATTGACCTATGATGACTGATCTCCTAAACCCACAACTATCTTCAGGTACACTCTAGCCTATAGGGAGTTTTATCCTTGATTTTCATTGACTACAATTTTGCGAAGCTCCTTGATACCATGCTAGTTCAAATGCTATCTCAATATCAAGAAGAGTCATTCTTACCTTACCTTACATTGAGTGAACTGGTGAAGGGGAGGGAGGAAAGAAACGAAGTCAAGAGCTTTTGTTCCCCATCCTGCCATAATCAAAATAACACTGGCACAGGTATGCCTGGTGCCACTAGACATTTATACTGAAACTGATGAAGCAAAGCTCTAGTCGGATTGGATCCCGAAAAGTGGAAGTGCGGTTATTCTTTATAAAGTTTACAAATGGTTCTTTACCAAAATAACACAGAATTTAAAATGAACTAAAATGTACAGATTTAAAAATGAATATAGAATAAATAGGAAAATTAAATTTATAAAATTGAATATCAGAAGTGAAATGCAATCCTTGAAGACTACCATCACAAAATTACAGAACTATTTCATTATTTCTCTTCAAACAAGCATCTCACCAGTGTCAATATCCTGTCTTCTCCCCATAATCCTGCACTTTGGTTATTTGTAAATATACACCAAATTCCTTTTTGAACGTCTTAATCAAACCAGTCTCCATCATATTCTCAAGCATTGCATTTTACTGAATTATAAAGGGAGATGAATATCAAGGCATCATAATAATACAAAACATCACATACAGTCCTTTAATAAAATTGTTATGACAAGGCAATTATGGACATAAACAATCAAAACTATGTCAATATCACAGGTAAACTAAAGCATCAACATATGAGAAGATCCAGTCAAACCTTCTCCAAATTCTTGATAGTGCATAATACTTCCACTTGAACTGTTCGTTGGCCCTCTGAATCTAGTTTCTCTTTTCCAACAATCCTGCTTATTGCAGCTGGCTTTGCAAAGCTAGCAAAGTAATTTGCCTGTTAAAAGAAGAAAATTACAAATTACCATACACATCTAAAAGATATGCACAATTACCAATATTACAGCATAATGCAATTATCTCTCAAAGAATCAAAAGGTTATCCTACTATTTAATTTGCATCTTTACAATTTTATTAGCTGCACATCTTTTAAGAATCAGAAAATTCTTAGTTCAACACCATTAACAAAGGAACTACCAATAAAAGCAACATCAGAAACATAGCGAATGGATCTTAGTCAGATACATTTACATTTAAAAAATGCTCATCTGTGATAGTTAAACTGTCAGTTTACATCAGATATGCTTTTTTCTAGCAACAAACTACAAATTTTGCTGTTTGATGTAAGACAAGATGTGTTTGAAAAAACATTTTAAATACCAGCACTCTCCTGCCACATGGTCCTCTGCCACTGAGGAACTTACTATACTTGATAAAACACACAAAAATTTGTAATTTGTCTTTTCCCACTCAATGGGCAGAATCTTAGACAGCACAGTCTATGGCAATATGACAGAATTGCATGCAAACTCCAGTGTGGCACATCTCGACAATGGGAATAACTCATTGCATCTTTTAAGTAAGATCTGGAGGTTGATGGGAATTGTCTATCAAGGGAGATTATTGCTTGTTGGTAACCTTATTAACTGCACATTAATATGCAGTGTGCCTTCCTAATGCCTGCTGAAAGGAAACTAGATGCTGAAAATTCTTGACATGGACATCAAATTGAGTACCTGACAACTTCAGATTGCCGCTGGCTGTGAACAGCCTCCATGCTGCTCACCTCGCAATAGCATCTCAAGGCACAACCCATGTGCACTAGCCACTACACATCCCTTGTGCGGACCCGGAAAGCAAGCTGTCTGGCTGTGTAACCACATTAGCAGGCATGGCAAAGATGCTGTGACTAAGAGAAAAGAAAGCAGCTCTGAGATGCTCCTTAGTCCACTCTGTGAACTGGTTGTCAGTCCCTGATATTTGATATTTGACAACTCTTTGAAATCCTCATGGCATCTCTCTGTTCCATTTACAGGACACGTATGAACCATAGATCTGCGGTTAAGGATGCACCAATGACTAGCATTGAACGGCTGCTAAAAGGATCTTTTGAACTCAGGGACTGACAACCAGTTCAGAGTGGACTAAGGAGCATCTCAGAGCTGCTTTCTTTTCTCTTAGTCACAGCATCTTTGCCATGCCTACTAATGTGGTTACACAGCCAGACAGCTTGCTTTCCTGGTCCGCAGTCCTCAGTTAAGGACATGGGCAACTTGTTGTACTGACCAATCTATGTCAATCTCACACCTGCCCACGTGCCAGCAGATTACACACCATGTGCACCATGCCTCAAAGTTTTAGGGGAGTAAACATCAACAAGTTAAAACTCAAATTGCAAAGTAATTTCTTCTCAGTAATTCCCTATCCCAGACAGTTGTAAGAGCTAGATCATTGAAAGTATTTAAAGGAGAACTAGATAGATTTTTGAAATGTTAGTTACATGATATTGACGTAGCTTGATCAATATAGCAAGTTGCCTATGTCTTTGACTGAGGAGGTGCAAAGCATATGGGATTCACATGAATAGTTTTCAAGAAGATATTCAGGACCTCCCTTACACATAGAGGTGGAGGCTGGAAGCCACTGCCCAAAGAGCATTCGCTATTGCTTTCCACCATGTTGGATATCAAAAGTATGCAATGTGAAAGAAAATGACTGTGACCACATCTGGTATGGCTTTGATGAGTATCTCAACCTAAAGAGTAGAAGGCTGCAAGACCTACCATGCAAGCTCCTTTAGAGTGAAAGAACAATACAGAGACAGTCTTACTCTGTACAGAGCACAGACCTGAGGACCCCCAACCCCCAAATTCCTGCAATCCTAATATGCTGGCTTCCCACGTTCTGCGCACTTCCCTGCCCCAGACATTGCTGACCACTTCATTTAGCACCAACACTTTTTGCACAAAAAGGGCCTCATAAAAGAAGAGGATTCTGACCACAAGGACAATGGAGTCTGCAGAACCTGCAACCTTGTTGCTCTTGCTTCCACATGCTGCAGCATATTCTCAACACAGGCATCAATCTATGGTATATCTTGTATAGGAATGAAGTTAGGTCTCATGATGGCACAGCTACATTTGCTACACAGAGACGTGCACAAACAGTTGTAGTGCAGAAACAATAAAATTCATCCAAATATGATAGTGTACTATATATAAACTATCACATATGCTATCATCCCTGCCACCAAAGTATCCTGAAAAGGTTTTCTTTTTTCTTTCCCTTCTAATATGTCTTAATGTTGTTCAGGATCCTGCACCTAGTGATCAGGAGTGTGCTTGGCAGTGGAGCCCTTGGCTTTGGAGATTTGATCAAGTGACACTGAGACTGTTTGTATCTGAATGACCCAAACATGATAAGGGTCTTCTTGCCAGACACAAAACTGAGTGTGATGGAATACACCCCTCTTGCTTGGATGGGTGCAGCTCCAACAACACTCAAGAAGTTTGACACCATGCAAGACAAAGCAACCCACTTGATTGGCACTACATTCACAAGAATCCACTCTCTCCATCACTGACGCTCAGTACTAGCAGTGTGTACTATGTACACGATAGTACTGCACCTTCTAATCCGAGGACCACTTCCATCTAGAAGGACAAGGACAGCAGATACATGGGAACACCACCACCTTCAAGTTCCCCTCCAAACTACTCACCATCCTGACTTGGAAAAAATCGCCTTTCTTCCACTGTCGCTGAGTCAAAATCCTGGAATTCCCTCACTAATGGCATTGTGGGTCAACCCACAGCATGCGGAGTGCAATGGCTCAAGAAGGCAGCTCACTACCACCTTTCTCAAGGGCATCTAGGGACGGGCAATGAATGCTGACCAGCCAGTGACACCCACATTCCACAAATGAATTAAAAAAAAACATTTTTGTACCGCGCGGTCTTTTGGTGCAGATCTGTGCGTTGACCAAACAGGAATTCTGCATTTTTAACTGTTCACCCCTCCCTTGCAGCACAGCCAAATACCCACCAGGTGTCCGTAAACATCGTCGGGATTGTCATAAAACATGCTGTTGAGCACTTGCTGCATCCTTTGCGGCACCAAGTTGCTCCTGTAGTACTCGGCCGCGCGCTGCTTGAGCTGGTAGAAGTCGCGAGCTTCCTCGGGGCTGCGACCGTTACTCGCAGGGGGAGCTGGGCCGGCAGACATCCTTTCAACGCTCGACCGCTTCGTCTGCTTAAACACAGCTCCCGGTTGTAAAGTTTTAACAAACAACCGTTCAGGAAGGGGGAGGGGATAGGCCTGCCACTTCTTTCGCCGTTGCTAGGCAACTCCCGTCGGGCATGACGTCATGGGTCTACCTGGCGAGCTGGTTCACCTGGAGCAAGTGGCCTTCCCCCCAGTACTCTATGGGCACGTTTGTGTTTAGGAGGCTGCTGTCAACGCTGTGTTATTTCTTCAAATGAGGCGGCTCTTTTCATACCGTTGGTCAGCCTGTCTGCGTTAACGTTTATGGTTCTCCCAGTTGACTGGTCAACACTCAACAGTCGTCACCTATTGCTATGCCCAAATTGCCTATCGACAAAGCAACAGTGACTGTACTTCAGCGTAGCTAACTGTTGCAAAACTTTGTAATGTCCTCTGCATATATAGGTACAGTATTTTTGTATTCCTGAAACATGCCTTTAAAACTATGTTGACTACTGCTTATTTTTTCAGATGTGTATTCTTGAATACCAACATTACTTATAAATGTAACGTGAGTAATTATATACAAGTTAAACTTTTTAAAAATAAATTTGCTTTTTTTTCAAGATTATGTTTCAGTAAATTAAGTCCTTTGGAGCTATAACGTGAATCCATATCTGACTAGTACACAAGGTGGAAAGCATCGTCCATTTTTTTTGGTGGTTGTGACTATTTTAATAGCATTAAGATCACTTTACCTATTGACAGTTTTAAAACGGGGAGGCGATGGCCTAGTTGTATTATTGCTGCACTGTTAATCCAGAGACCCACATAATCTTCTGGGGACCAGCGTTCGAATCCCACCACTGCAGGTGGTAGAATTTGAGTTCAATGAATATCTGGAGTTACGAGTCTAATGATGACTGTGAATCCATTTGTTGATTGTTGGAAAAATCCATCTGTTTTACTAATGCCCTTTAGGGAAGGAAACTGCAATCTGGCATTCATGTAACTCCAGACTCAAAGCAATGTGGTTGACTCTAAACTGCCCTATGGGTAATCAGGGATGGGCAATAAATGCTGCCGAGCCAGCGAAGCCCTCATCCTGTGAATGAATTTTTTTAAAGTTTTAAAATGAAGACACTGTTTGTGTTTGTTTCACTTTTGCTAACTTGTCATGTTCTTGGCTAAAATTATAACCTCTGTAAGTGAAAACTGACTCATTCCCACAAGTACCAAAAGACAAGGCATTGAGGATTTTGCCTCTTCTATTGTGCTGTCAGAAAAGTGGTTGGCTGTTAAATGCATTAGGGTTGCTATGTTACTCTGTTCTACAAACAGTTGTTTGGCTGTGCAGAACTTGAGTATTGTTGATAAAGGGACATACTGTCAAGATCTCCAAACAAATCAAAATTTGAAATTGCGTGAGAAAAGGGTGCTGATTGGTTGAGGCATTGCCATGAAGAATGCACCAGGGAACTGGTGGCCCTATGTTTTTGTTTAATTGAAATGCACCATGACTAGATATGTTCTTTTTGTTTGCAGAGACTAGAGCTTATGAATATATGTAACTTGTAGCAAATGTAAATGAGGCACACCGCAAGCCCAACAGATAATCTCATTGGTTGTCAGTATAGTTCTTTAAACATTGTTGAATTGTTCAGTAAGTGCTGTCTAATTCTGGAATCACAGCTAATGTTGAACCCTATGTTCTGAGTTTGCAAGTGTGGACTTGTTGAGTGCAGTCAGTGCTCTAGCTATTGTGAACAGCTGTAGGAGGGCATGCTGTTTGATAGTTCAACTGACAAATACTTGGGGTAAATGACCTACATATCTGGCATTAACACCGGCACTGAAATTGATGTACTACATTCCTCATTTGTGTGGTAGATAGAACATATTTTTGCCATGAAGGCAGCATCCAGTTGATAAAGAATACCAAGTGCTACTGCATTGTAGGAGCATGAATCTGCTAGCTTTAGCTGTCACTCAAATATTCGAGACACTACCCATCAAGGTATTTCTTTATTCTTTATTCATTCACGGGATGAGGGCATCGCTGGCTAGGCAGCATTTATTGTCCATTTGTAATTGCCCAGAGGGCAGTTGAGAGTCAACCACATTGCTGTGGGCCTGGAGTCACATGTAGGCAAGACCAGGTGAGGATGGCAGTTTCCTTCTCTAAAGGGGCATTAGTGAACCAGACGGGTTTTTGTTTTTCCAACAATCGACAATAGATTCATGGCCATCATTAAATTCTTAATTCCAGACATTTTATTGAATTCAAATTCCACCATCTGCCATGGTGGGATTCGAACCCAGGTCCCCAGAACATTGTCTGGGTCTCTGGATTAACAGTCCAGCGATAATACCACTAGGCCATCACCTTCCCCCTAGTGAGGTACACTCGACACTTTTTAGAACCAGAAGGGACAGTCTTAGGCTTTTCACAAGTTTGCACAATACACTGCAATCAATGATCCCCTTGAAGTGGCCAATATCCCACAAGATAGCAAACTACTTTGGCATCAAGGTTGCATGGTGAGCAAGTGTCTTAGGCCCTATTTACAAATTTGTTGGTAAGATCAGTACTGTAGCACATATCGCTGTAGGAGGTCCCGTACATACAGTGGCCAGTGAAGGCAGGCTTTCTGAAGGTAGAAACTAATATTGAACTCATTAGTGGATTGTTCAACTGGCACATCAAGGAAATTGAACATGTTTGACTACTCTAATTTCAGGGTAAATTTGAGCACAGGTTAGATTACAGCCTATTAATGGGTGTAAGAAAATTCTTACATGCCCTTGCAGAATCAAGTCTAGCAAATTTACCTACCATTTACATTTTGGATCTATGCAAGGGATAGGAGGTTAGGGATCATTCTGTTAACACCACCTTTCTCAAGGAAACTAATGAAAATGTTGCCAAGAGTTGAGTCTAGAGGGATTCTTTTGACAACATCATCTACTTGGGCGTATATGACATTGTTAATGCTGAGTTCAACCCTGCAAGATATTAAATGCATAGCTCAATGAATACAGATTCCGACAACATGATTGTAACTGGATTACCGTGATATAGTGACACAGCACAAATATCAATGGCTTCCTTCAGCAGTTCTTTCCTTAATAGGCTCTCCATGTCATAACAGCATACAGACATTGCTATCAATATGCAGGTCTTGCGTAGTCTTTGCAATGTGAAAGAATTCTTCATTGTGCTTGTGGGAAAGTTGCTCAAAAACTGGTTGTTGCAATTTCATCAACCATTTGACCAATTCATGTTGTGCAGAACCGGTCATTATTAAGATGGGCATAAAGGATCATCACTTTTGTGAGATAAGGCAATCTTTACATATGTGAATGCAATGAATCATGAGAATGAATCCTATCATAAATATCACCATGCAGCTAGCTAGTCTTACACATGTCTAATAATTTTTTGTAACATGCTTTTAAGCAAGGATGTATAATTATATTTAACGGTGATCCAATAGGTATGAATTTGAACCCATCATTAAGAACAGTAAATCTTTTGTTAAATATAATCCCATTTTTTGAGGATGCCTATTCCAGCTCCTTAACCAAACTTTCAGATAAATATGGGTTGGCTTTGAGGCCTTGAAATGCCACCGCACATTTCTGCTGCATGTGGAAATCAGACAAGTCATTGTGTGTCCTGCAATTTTCATATGCAGCACCCTGTCCACTGCAAACAGAATATGCATTGCGTCTTTTTTCAATTAAACAGAAGTATGGGGGAACAATTGTTTCCTTGGTGCAGCACAATGTCTTGATGAATCTGAACCAACTTGCCTTTTTGAATTTAAACAAAAGCTTGGCTAATGACTATCATAGTGAATTCCCCATGGCAACACCTCAACCAATCATAGAACACATTCCGACATTTTCCCACAAGACTAAGACCACAAGAAATAGGAACAGAAGTAGACCCTTCAGCCTGTTGAGCCTCCTCTGCCATTCAGTAGGATCATGGCTGATCCATGCAGTATTTTTTGTTGATCTTTTTTGAAGTTTGGTATTCTTGTGACTGCATGATGAAAAGCTTTCACAGCATGCCTTTATTTCACATCACTTATTCCATTCTCTTTTTCCATCTGAACACAGATTTTCAGTAAGGGCTAGAAAATTATGAAAGTAGTCAGCTGTTTTATGCTTCAATTGTCCAAATTTTGTTTAATAGACAATTTTTTAAATGAATAAAAAGTTACCATTTCCAGTGTTATGTTGGTGTTTATTTTAATTATATTTAGGCCGGCTTTGAATTATCTCTAAGATTTTTTTCAGAAATTTGTTTTATGAATTTTATTAATTTGTTGGTTCTTCCAAGGACAGCAAAAAGACCAGCAAAATTTCCTGTTTCAGCTCTCTTATTGCATCTCTGCCTTAAAATCTTATTTTGGCAAAACCCTAATCAATGTTCATATATTCTTTTGGTGGTAGAAAGATAGTGGAAAACACAGCAGTTGTTAGGATCCAATTGATTCTAGGGTGTCAGATGTTTCCAGCAAATTTCTGACCAATTTTTGCATACATGTTGTTTTACAATGTGTTACTATTTGGCAATTTGGGTTCTAAAGTGGAGGTAAATGGGCTTCTGGTGTTCAGTCTGTGAAAGTGTCTATTTTATACAAGGCTTAGAAACCCTTTGTGGAAATTGTGTCAAAACAGCATTTCCAAGAAACCTCGTGACTTAAGCAAAATGACTAAGCAAGCCACCTGGTGAGATTCTGTCTGAAGAGATAAGATTTATGACCAATGGCAAAATGAATGCAACGGCTGGAGGCCACAAGTATGTCCAGTTCAGAAGAGAAGATCCATACCATCAGATGTGCTATCATCAGCTGGTATTTTAACAATGTGTGGAACTGAATATCTGTATCAGAATATGCTGAGAATGTTGAATAGCAGACTTAAAAATAAGTTTGGGTATATTCTGTATTTTAGAACAATTTACAAGTGTAGATTGCATTTTTATCATGGTAGAGGTCCCAAAGCAATTCACAACAGCAAGGGTTTTGACAAGGTCTCACATGACAAACTGGGTAAGAAGTTAAGACCCCATGGGATCCAGTGCAATTTTGCAAATTGGATCCAAAATTAGC